TTTTACAAGGCTGCAGGCCTGGCTGAAATACTTAGGTGTCATTAGATTTTGTGTGTCAGATTAGATAAGCCACTAGACAGTCATTCGTGTGGGTGTAAACGTCCATTTAATGAAATGATGAATTTTTGAAGAATTTTGAAAGCTGAAAATCTTGAAAAATCACCCCGCAGCATGTGGTTAACATCCTTTGTAACTTCAGCTCTGGACAATGGTCACTGATAATGAACCTTGCCCTCAGCTGAGCCAAATCAGTGTCTGCTCTCAAGCCATTCTTAATAAAAGTGTTCATGATTAGCAAGCACATTATGTATTTATTCACTCAATTAAATTGAATTGCATTCAACGTGATCATCTGTCATCTTCAGGTGATTAGAGCAGCTATGAAAAATCCCAAATTGAAAAATACTAAAAGTAAATGCATGTGGAGGTATGGTGTGTGTTATATAAACCAATACCTTTCACAATACAGATACCATGGTCAGTAAAATTGGAACAGGTGTAATCGATCTACTCTGCCTTTAGATATTTATGATGAATTTAAGATCTCATTTAAATTATTTGTGGACTCCGAGTTTTTATTCAATTTTAATAGACTGATCTAGTAAGCCCCACTCATTGTAGCAACTGGAAGCACATGCATGCAAGATCATTGCCAGTCATTGTACTCGTCATTCTATTCACAGCCGCAATTCACCTCATTCTTTTATTTGATCGGTAGGGAAAATGGTTAACAAAGAAAGTCCTGGCTTTCCTGCTGTGTTGGAGTGACAAACAGCAACACAGCAGGCCTCATTGGGTGATTCAAAATGAACCGGGAGTAATTTTATTAATATTTTTACATCACTTAATGCATAAACAGATATATATATAAATACCATTAAAAGATCACAATCATGGCCGACTGACTTTGGTCTTTTACACAGTTCTGATTGGTCAATATGCATGCGCGTGTAGCTTACTGGATTGGTCTATAATTTATCCATGTTTTATTGTGTAATTTATTACTGTAGGCAATTTCACACTTCCCAACTTAGCTTTGGGGGAATATTTTGGAGCAGCAGCTGTAATTTGTTCATTGTGTCTGCCTGTTTAATTCCCCTTGCTAAAATACAATGCAATATCAGCTGTTTAGCCGTATACTGTTATTAGGTTAAAGAGCAACAGATGTGTACTTACCATTGCTTGGATGCAAATTGACATGCTTATTTTCATGAGAAAGAAATAAATGTTTTAATGATTGGCCAATCAATGTGTATACCTCAGTCTCTGTTTATGTTGTATGACAGTTTCACCAATAAAAACTTTGAGTTGCCCCAACCCAGGCTTCTTTTATAAGAGCAGTGACAGGGTCATTATGTTAATGAATGACAAGGTAATTAGAAACCTCTGCTGTTTGAACAGATCTCATGTACTATATAGCGTGATGTGAATTGGGAGACCTACATGTATAAATCAAGGCAGTATTCATATTAAAGACAGATGATGCCTTTTGATTACTAAAACTTTGATTTTCTGGAGGTTGCATGCCATCTTTCATTTTTTTCAAGTCCATGCATATAAATGATTATTACTTTTGAGGTCAGTTTGATGTCAATTGATGCTACTGGATTACTAAATGATGCCGTGTGATGTTAGGTTAAGGCCTCAAGTTTTGAAAAAGGCCAGTGGAGGACTGGATAATCATTGTGATGTCAAATTTGATGTCTCTTGATTTCTAAATGATGCCTTATGATGTCAATTGATGTTGGTGATGGCTTTTAATCATTGTGATGTCAGATTTTGATGCCAGTTGATGTCACTTGATTACCAAATGATGCCTTGTGATGTCACTTTGATGTTGGTGATGACTTTTGATAATTGTGATGTCAGATTTTGATGCCAATTGATGTCACTTGATTACCAAATGATGCCTTGTGATGTCACTCTGATGTTTGTGATGATTTCTGGTGCCTAAATGAAGCCTGCTGATGCTCATTTATGGCTTTTTGATGCCTTTTGAGAGCAGTGATGCTGGATGATGTCTAATGATGACCAAATGATGTCTAAATTTTCTGGTAGGGTAGCTTGCACAGGTGAACATAGTTAAATCCTGAAAAAAACTTAAGGGTGGGAATAATATCCTGATTGAGTTTATTTAAATATAACAGCCTAATTTATTTATGTATAAGGGCCTAGCTAGACCTGCTTGATTTCTATTTATTTAAAACTTTCACATTTACAATATCGGGATTCATTAATATTCAATGTGTCTGCTTAACAATTAACGTTAATGATTGAATGAAAGCTAGCTGTTGTGGTTAGCACAAACATTGTAGAACCCAAACTTACAAAAGATTTAAGCATCAAGAGAAATTTGTTTGTCATTGTCATTGGGGCAGTTCTTGTAATAAAGACAATTTAATAACAAATGAATTAAATATTGACAAGTAAAACCTTGAATCTATAGTCGACAAATTGTTTAACGTGTAGTAATGTTTGATTTAAGATGATAGTATCTAGGCCTGCAATTTTTGTAAATAAAGTGTTAGCTTCATATTTAGGCCTAGGCCTATATTTTTCTGATTATAAACTCTCTTCGAAATCAATATTTTTCACTGGTGCCTTTTTTTTTGGGGGGGAAAACAATTTGGATCAAATATGGTGAAGAAACCTTCCCTCCCTTCCCCGTTTTTAGTGTTCATATTGTGAACTACAGAATTTTGGTTGTATGGGATGCCCGTTGTAATTGTACATGTACATAGCCCTATATACATGTACATGTGCACGTACGCGGAGTAATGCGCTATGCGTACATGTGAGTATTCATATCTTGTACATTTCGTCGTAATACTCGCTGGCGAATCCCACCGTTTTACGAAAAACTACACGTATTGCCCATTTGAAAAGCTGCTATTGTATAGAAGCAAACTTAGTTATTATATCCATACCTTCAGGATGTTATAAATAAGTCATCTTTATGGTGAAAAACACCCAACAAAACTTTTTTTTCACACACCAAGCGTCTTGTTACGGAGCGAAAGTGTCCATAACTTCTCCTCGAATTTGCGGCTATTTCACCGTAGGTTTTTGTCTGTCTTTAAATGAATTGGTAGATGATATATTTGGTGAGCTTTCACTGGTTAAAACCTTCCTTCAAAATTAATATTCATCAGACACGAGCAGTTTTTATCAACAAATTCACCAAGGGCCAACCTCCTTTAGGTCACATAAAATGAATATTCATTTTAAGGTGACCCCAGTAAAAATGTATCGCACGTGCACAACCATGAGTCGTCTGTACAGCATTTACAACAGTGGTGAGGAGTAAGTCATAGAATTCAGGAAGTGCCAGTGGAAACCAGTAGTTGAGAACCAGTCCTCAGTTTCACCTGCTGACACAGGTGTGACAATAAGGCAAGAGGTAACAGGGTTTAACAGAGTTTGCCATATGGCCAAAGATATGCTTGTGTGATGAGGGCCCAAAGGACGAGAGCCGAACTTAGATTGGAGAATGTAAAAGGACAGGAATTTGAAGATTAAGAAATCGGGGTGGCCGGTATGCTTCTAAATGCTGTTCAGGAAAGCTCCAGCCTCATCTGTACATCTGTAGAGCCAATGATTTTCCGCAATTGCGGAAAATGGACGGAATTTGCATAATGAACACTTTGCAACAGAATCCAGAAATGGAACTTGCAAAATTTCCCTCTAAGAATGGCTAAAAAGTAAAGAAAACTTTCTGCAAAAAATGAATGCCTACTAAACCCTTTTCAAATGCTTGCTTTTAATGAACGAATTACGCTGGAAACATGCTAAATTGCACCAATCCACAACATGATTGGGCTGTCCCCGCTGCACCAGTGCCTTGAATGTGCTAAGGCGTGAGTGAGCTCCATACGTGCAGTGGCAGCCGTCACAGCGCAGCAGTGTGGTACGGTACATTGGCCGTTCACACACGCACCGTACTAGCAAAGAAATCAAGGCTCAAACATGTTCTTACTCACACATGACTATTGCACATGTGGGGAACTTAGTCTGTGAATCTGCATGGATGCCTTGAGAAAGGCTAGTATCACATGGTGAAACGATGAAACCACAGCAGCAAAACGGAAGACTAACTGCACATTTCTTGAATTAAACGAAACCTAGTAAACTTGGTGTACCATGGCTGAATGGACCCTTAGAAGTGTTCAATAAAGAGTGATGCTTTCAGTCACAAACATACATTTTAAGGCTCAGATTTAATGTTAACTTTCTGAATTTTGTCCCACTGCTGCCAAATAAAATGGTGGGTCGATGTCCAACATTAACATATTGAGATCAGCGACTGTTAAATGCAAGACCTACTATGTGACTTCACTGTACTGTACATGTATGTAATCTGATTTCATACATGAGGAGTGGCACATGAATTGTCCATTGATTAATCGTAGCAAGTTTTGGCAATCGCGCCCCGGTGGCAAATCAAGGGATAAGATGTGCAGTATTTATTGTTTGGATTCGTTTTAAAATTTTCACTACAGAAATTCTAAAAAAACGAAACATTGCAGATTATTTCCAAACACTATTGTTGTTATTTTTGTTTCTTTTCATTCTTTTGTGGGGGGGGCAATGCGGTTGGGCAAATGGTTTCTATGCATAGTTTAAAACTTGCTCTCCTATTTCATGCTTACGAAGGTTTGAAATGGAATTTTAATTTCTGAAGCAGAATTCGGAGCTGGCAAAACGGAAAATACCCATTTTTGAAACGGAAAATCATTGGCTCTACATCTGCCTACCGAAAGCCAGTCTCCTACATGTAGGGGTCTTATTGTGGGAATGGCTAGCTGTTGGGAGTAGGAGGTAAAGGTTACCTGAGTGAGGACTCCTCACTGCCAGAGTGACAGGGTCGAGGCTCAAGAGTTCATCTGACTTGAATGATGTAGAGAAACTTGAATTCTCGTGAGAGGACTGGAATGGGATTCAAACAGTTTAACTCCCAAAGAAGCCTTGGTTGAATCTGACAGGAGTTGAGCTACTGTAAGAGGAACCCCATGTACATGTAATAATTATATGTATCAATAGAGATTGGAATTCGATGAGTTTGGCTGAATGAAGGGGCAGACATGAATCCAAGAGGGTAGCAGACACAGGTATTAATCTGACTAAAGAGGTGTCTGCTAGAACCTTACTACTGTAGAAAGTACAAGTTAAATCCCCCGAGGTATCTGAGAAGTAATTTAGCCATTAGTGTCAGACATGGGGAATGGGGGCCACTTCAATATTTCCTTTTAGCCTGTATCTCCCCGCGTTGCCTGTGAGGACTGCGGAGAGGGCAGAGCAGGACTTGACCATAGTGTGGAGCCGGAAAGGGAAGAAAAACTGTACTAGTGTTTGTCCTCCAAATCCTTCATGACTACTGGTTAGTTTGTAACAGGGGAGACTTACCAAACTCATTCCTGAGCAAAAGTTTTACAGGTAGGTGTAAATGGACAACAAAACCTTAAATATCATTCATAAATAGAGGTGACATTTCTTCTTCTTTTTTCGAAACCCCAAATACGACTGTAGTGAGGGCTGGATAAGGATAGACCTCATCCTTATCGAGCAAGGAGTTATTGCCAGAAGATTAGCTAAGTGGGATGTAATAGCGACACTCCACAATTCCAGTGTATGCGAATGGTGTCAAAGCATATCTGGAGAATAAGCCTTGTTCTATATTTAAGAGTGGCTGTTGACGTTCCTGTTATTGAAGGACTTCGGGCATTTAAACCACATGATTGGGAAATTGAAGTCAGACTGGACATATTCGAAGAGATGAAAATTTGAGAGTCGCAAACGGGGCATCCATGCATAAATTAAAATCTGTAATAGTGCTGCATGACGGGAATACAGTGTTCATATTTCCCATTCAGGAGCGGAAAAACTGCAGACACAAAATACCGCTTTGAAAGTCCAAATCATTTTTATTTCAATGAATGCAAGTTCATCATTGAATATCGAACAAGACCTGTCAAGTATATCTCTTTGTTTTGATCATGCGGGGCATTCTCGGAAGTGATAATCCGAGGGATACTCTTGACAAGATTTCGGGCCGACAGTAGACCAACCTTTATCGGATCTCGTGACAGTCACAGGACATAGATCTGGACCCAATAGCAGATGGTATACAGTCGAACAAGCTTAATTCGAGCTTGAAGGGACTCTCCAAAAAACCTTATCTTACGGTGAACCTTGTGTTATACTTCTTGACACTTACCCCATTCATTAAAAGCAAGCCTGACGTCATGCACCATTAAGCATTGTTACACACTAGGGCAATGTACTGTAGGCCAACATGTAATGTGCGGCACAGTATACGCAGAGGATTAGTATTCAATGTACATGTACCAGCCTTTAACTTGTTAATAAAGTTTAAATCATATTAATAAATATGGCTCGAACGAATAAAACAATGATTTCGAATATGCCTACTTGTTCGACGCAACAGCGGGAACAGTGGTTGCAAGTGGCCATCCGCCATGCGGACGGCGTGGCCCGGCAAAGCACTCCTTGGAAACCGGTACCCGACGTTGTGTGGGGCGTCGGTTTATTTAAGGAAGGGAACTTTGGAAGGGTGTACAATTTATTTCCAAAACCCATTTCAATTTTCTTTCAATTTTCGGACCAGACCTGCTGTGATAGAAACTACTTTGATGCCACAACATCACAACACCTATTGTCGTCTAGAATAAAGCCCCCTCTAGTGGCATAAGGAGTAGAGTCGCCAAGTCATCGGTGGTAAAACTGCAGCACAAATTGCTGGGCGGACTAGCATTATTTGAGAACTACTGACGCTCTCCATCAAGAATTACTTACTGGGATTACTGGGCTTAAGCTTTTGAAGACGTGTTTTCAAATGTCCTCGTATTAAAAATGCCAAGGACAATAGTTTTTGACACTGCCTGTTGATAGACAAAAGTGTTCGTTTTTGCGCAGCTCATATTTAGTAAGTTTTCTCTCATAGGAATAGGTACATTTTGAACGGGACTGAAGAAATATGGTCATCTTAAGTGCGATCTTGTCTCAAGCATGCTCGTCTTAATCGTGTTCGACTGTATGTATAGAAAGTTTGGACACGCCCACATTGGAAGATCTCACGTCCGGACAGTAAACAGGACAAAGAGAGGTCGTGTGGAAGAATTTGTGGAGGAAGCACATGATGGGCCATAATGGTAATACATGCGGCAATGTATTAGTGTACCAGAAAACCCCTGGAAAAGTGCGGGATTACAGGATAGTGAGAAGGGTGTGGAATCCACGATAGTGTAAAGATCAGTGAATTCGGACACCCGAGGTACGGACTAGAGAAATAGTATACATGCAGTGGGTCCAAATACAAATGGTATAAACACTAGGGCAGAGCCAGAAATGAGGGGGCTGCCCATTGATCACTGTTGTCTACTTCATGCCTAGGTGCCCTGATGGCGAAGTCTTGGACATCGGTGGGATCAGGCGTTTGGCGGTCAGAGGGGGTCTGCAGGCAAAGTGCACAGGTACCAGTAGTGAGAAGGTTGTATCCGGTAGGCTGCTTGTACACATTCATTGTTTCTCAGCTCCGCACCCCCCCCACATGAGTCGAACACCACTTGAGGGTTGATGCTTAGCGTAATGATAGGAGTTACTTGAACCGCGACCCGTTCTCGTATTGATCTGCATTGTGCCTGCATACCTCGTACTGCGTCCAGCGGGGTCACGTAAACGGTGGGCTAAGGCAGGGGGTGGCCCGGTAACATGTAGTGTCAACCTATACTTGGATGCCCTCGATGAAGGGTGACAGAGAGTGGTGGTTCAAGGCATTGGGTGGATCAGTGGGGCTGGCGCATGAGCGGCGTGGGGTCTTCTCAATGCAGCCTTGTCAGACATGCCACATGAAAAAGGAGATTTGTGACTCATGGCGGTACCAGAGCCCAGGACACAGGTGGTGTTGTATCCACATAGCCTGGCACTGTCTCCATAGGGGGTCATCCCAGAGCTGGCAGAAGGGCCAAAGGGGTATAATTGGTCTTCCCAGAAGGTAGCTGGAAGACAGAGTGACATAAAGAGTTCAGTGGGCCGCCTCGGAAACAAACGGACGCTGACCCAAGAGGGATCTGCATCACCTCAACGCCAGAATACCCAAGTTGAAAGGTGTCTAAAGACGGTAGCACCGGGACAAAGTGGCCAGTGTAGGTAGTGCTGGCTTAATTAAACGGAGAATGTCCGACGACACGCTGTGGAGGAGAGGGCAATGGAAGACCGAGAACGTCACCTGAATCATACCTCTTTCAAGAAGACGGAGGCGTCCTTCAGAAGGGGGATGGTTGCCGACAAAGTCGATGTCAACCTCTGATGACACGGTCTGATGCTCAGACTGAAGCTTAGCTGAATCAGGACCCAGGGATACTCCTGTACATTGCAGAATGTTTTGCAGGGTCAGTGCTGGATTGGTATAAGCCTCAGTGAGTTCCACACTGTGAGTAGTCATGTGTGACTGCAGGACAGGTGGATAGTGGGGATCCGTAGGAGGTACGTCCGGCTCCAGAGCGGTAAAAGCCAGCAGGAGTTTACCACTCAGACAACAGATGACGGAGGACAGAGACTCAATAATAGACTGGAACACTGTCATCCATGGTTCAGGTGGAAACTCCTGTTGCTTCGAGTGGTGTCTCTTCGTGGTTTTGAAGAAACCTACGAAGAAGAACGCTTGCCCATGGGCCTTAGATGTCGGGGTGAACCAGTGGCTGATGTGGCAAGAAGGGCCGCAAGCCTGTCCCGTAGCGGGCAGTTGAGAGTTTGGCTGGCGTGGGTGTCATCAACTTGGGACAATGGACCAGCCTAAAGGCTGGACCCCTTAGAATGTCGGGAGCCCGTCCAGGGGTTACAAGTATGAGGCAGACTAGATGACTGCTCAGTTGACGCTACCGAAGAGGCAGCCTTCGCGCTGTGGACCTGCAGCGGCCGGTAAACGTTGCAGGCGGTGGAGGAATAGAAGCCCTGTTACCCCGCAGGCTTTTCTGAGCTATGGGCGATTGATGGGCCAACTCGTTGTCTCTTAGGTGGTTGGTGGAGACGGTGGCTCAGTTGTGTGTTGGGGGGCAGAAAAGTAGAATGGTGATGAGTCAGGAATGCCCCAAAAGGGAATCCAATGTTGCGGTTAAGGCCAGAGTCCTCGTCTAAGCCGCTTAGATTACGGAGCGCCCACTCATGCGGCTTGGCCTTTGCCCTCATTCTCTAAAAGATCAAGCTCCAGCAAACAGTGCGGGCTTGATCTTGCCACTTAAGTCAGCTCCGTGCTTGACTGTGAGCAGGGGACATCCCGATGGAGACTCCCCCACTTGCAGCTAAGGCCTATATCTTCATCAGAGCTACATATGAATGAGTGAATCACTCATGTGGCTAGGCCTTATCCCCATCCTACCACTTTATCAAAGAGCACCCACTAAGAGGTTAGGCCTTTATCCACAAATGTTTGCTTAAATAAAGGAACGCCCACTCAAGCGGTTAAATGGGAAACAGCTAAAAATTACAATCCGCCTTCTTATGCAGCTAGGGATATGTGGATTACATGTATATGGGCCGCTAACGTGCCAAGCGCCAACTCAAATGGCAAGGCCTATGGGGAGTGTAGGGTTGACTGTTCCTTGAAACAGTGACGGTAAACACCTGCAGAATGCACACACAGAAAAGAGAGGTGAAAAGCACCAAAAACAAGGAAACAACACTCTTACCAACAAAATAAAAATCACACAAGGTTAAAGTTTATTCAGGAAATACAACTGGATGATTCAAGTCGACCGTGTAGCGAAAACGAAACTTGAAAAATTTGAAGATGTCTAAAAGACATGTCCGTTGTGAAGGACGAATGTGGCGGCATGACCACAGTGCATAGTGGAGGTCAAGGGGCACCTAAGATGATTAAGTCTTTTCAGCGAATAGCTATACGCGCGTGGGAAATTTGCATATGTATTGACTGTTTGGGTAGGTAGAGTGCCATAGACCTGTCAATTTAGATCGGGTGTTTTTATACGTACACCGAGGACGTTAAATATGTACACCGAGGACAGCTTAGAAAAGGCCTTGAGATTTCGCTGACCTCCATAAATGCTCACATTTCAAATAACACTTCATTGCAAACTGAGGACGTCTTCGATTTTCAATCCGACCTCAATTTGTGGCTATGTTAATACATAGAAGAGCTCCATCTGCACCTTTCACAAGTGCACGTACATTTTGTACTCTTGTGGGGTATATCCTTTATTTTTGTGTACTTAAAAATTATTGTGTGAGGCAGAGTTTCCAATGTGCTGTCATATGAAGTAGACTCTCTTTCTTAGGTTGATATTTGAGCAAATGTCACGTATGTAAATTCCTTCTATTTGCAACAGATAAGTATACCTTGGGAATTCATCCTTTTTGAGTAAATTCCAAAAATATGTTTCGTGAAATTCTTGTAAGTATCATTTTAAGTACCCCACAAGAACAAAGAATGTTCCTTGTGAGGTATTGCCCTATTGTTCCGGTATCCCACAAAGCACTAAAAACACAAGCACGAATCCAGCAACATCAGTCATTTTGATGCAGTGCCCACCTTTGATGGCAAAAAGCACTTTGATAACCATTGAATGGACCCTCTACTCTGCAACAGCACATCGCTCCATACGAAACCAAACCAATGCTTCTCACAACGTCATCAAACTTGTTTAAAAACATACAGGTAAGTGTACAGTCAGTACATGTACAAAGTTTGTTGACGTTACTTGAGTATTGGTTGGTTGGAATATGTACATGTATGCATGAGCTGTTCCTTGTATAAGGAAGAAAATATCTACATGATACACTAAAATGATTTTGGAAAAAAGTTTCATTGATTTTACCTGTGTGGAATGGAATCTAACTGTAACTTGACCATACAAGTTGCCTTTATCAATCATATCTGTGGTTCGCATATGAACAACTCTTGGCTTTTCAATTGATTCCAGAAACTTCCATCGGATGGTTTTGAACTGGAAGCCTTTCGTCATTTCCTGGATTGGAAAAAAATTAAAGTTACTTGTAAGTATGAAACAAAGTCATAATCTTTGGGTTATAAGGCAGTTACTACACAACAATCCAAATAACAGGTGCAGCAATTTCAAGTGGCAATTGAAGGGATAAATGTATACAAAGTTCAAAAGATTAATCTCAATGGTTCCTCTCAAAAGCATTTCAAAGGGGCTACCCGGAATTAAGACTCAAAATATTGTTCTTAACTTTTGATCCTCTCTTTTTTTCTCTTGGTTTCCCTGAAAGTACCAGTATTGACCACTTGCTGCCGGGGGACCCGTTTTCGAGCACAGGCTTTATACACGAAGCCGAGGAGACACACAGCCATGAGCCACACAGCACCGCTGCATGCTAATCTGGCCCCTATTGAAAAGAGGTCAGCAGCGCACTGTGCCAGGTTCGTAAACAAAAGAAAGTTATACAACACCACACAATCTGGGCTCATTTTACAAGGATGCAGGCCTGGCTGAAATACTCGGGCATCAATAGACTTTGTCTGTCAGGCTATAGTGGACACCAGACAGTATTTCATGTGGGTGTAAACGTCCATTAATTGAAAATATGAATTCTTGAAGATTTTGAAAACCGAAAATCTTGAAATTCGCCCATATGTGTGCACTGCATTTTTCAAACCATCCGGCAGCAAGTGGTTAACCCCTTTATCTATGAGGAAAACATGTCTAAAAATGTGTGCCAAGGGTCCTTTGAATATTCTACAAGAATATAATATCAAATCGGTGCTCTGAAATATGTGATTGCCGAGCTTTCGGTAAATGTGTACCTTCTTCAGGACAAGTAGATTCAGCTCATATTAGTGAATTTCTTAGGAAACAGGTCAAGGCAGATTTTGACCACGACTTTGGAGATCTTAAATGTGACAAAGCAGATGAAAGGGTGTCAAGAGATCATCCGAAATCAGAGGGTGTCCATGCTGCCAGCGAGAAGAAACCCCCAGAGAAATGGCCTATCAAGTGTTACGTCTGCAAATCCCCTCACAGAGTGATGGACTGCCCTACCTTTCAGGATTCTTCCCCCACAGATCGTTTCAAGATTGTGAAGGAACACCACCTCTGCTTTCCGTGTCTCATCCAAGGCCACAAGGGTGAAGAGTGCGAGTTCAAGAAAAAATGCGGCAAGAACGGTTGCTTGAGAATGCATCATACTTTGATCCATTTCGATCCCCCATCCAGCAGTGCAGTTTCCACCTTGGACAAAGATGGGATTCCACCAGTTCTTCGTGTGATTTTCAGAGCTGAGAATGTAAGAGTCAGGGAAGGTAATGTTCTCATTGATAGTGGCCCAGCGACCACCATCATTTGCAGAGACTTTGCTGAGGCCCTAGGCCTGCAAGGTCAAAAAGAACCATTGGAAATTTCAGTAGTTGGAGGTGGTCGCTTGAGGTAGAAATTTAGTTGCCGGGTAAGGTTCTGGATTTCACCGGTGAGGAAGATTATGAAATATAGGCACATGAGATTGACCGTACTGTCCTTAGCGTCCCTCCTTTGGACCGTCAATGGCTCTACTCCTTTCCCCATATCTCTGATCTCAATTTTGCTCATCAGGCCGGACCGATTGACCTCATCCATGGAGTCCAGTACAGCCACCACCATGCTGAAGAAGAGGTACAGGGCCTACAATTTGAGCCAGTTGGAAAGAAGACTCCACTTGGGTGGTTTGTAATTGATCCAGACAATACTAAGTCTTCTACTTCAAGAGTGTCTGTTAGCACCATCATTAAAGAGTGCCTGGATTTTAACCGGCTGTATGACCTTGAAACTTTGGGTGTAAGAGCACTTAATTGTTCCTGTCCAGTGAACGGTATGTCCAAGGATGACAGAACACCGATGGAGATGTTTGCTAACTCCTGTCACAAGGAGGGAGACCGATATATGATTGGACTGCCGTGGAAGAAGGACCCTTCCCTCCTTCCAAACAATCGCCCACTAACTGAGAAACGACTGGCATCTTTGGAACGGAGCTTGTCCAAGAATCCTGACAAAGCTAGCATGTACGACAAGGCAGTCGGGGAGTATGTGGATAAGGGTTGGGCCGTCCAAGTGTCAGACAAAGCTGCTGAAGGACCTGTCAACTATCTGCCCCATCATGGCATATATCAACCAGAGAAGATCAGCACTCGTTGAGAGTTGTCTTCGATCCCGCCAGTCAATATCACAGAGTCTCAATAATTCCTTTCTTTACAAAGGACCAAATCTTATCAGAAACCAGTTTGGGGTACTGTTACGTTTTAGAGAGGATCTTGTGGCAATTGTTGGAGATATATCCAAGATGTTCCTTTAAGTTTTGTTAAGACCTGAGGATACTGTAGTCCATAGTTTTCTTTGGCAAAACCTTGACAGTTCCGAGAAAAACCGAAATCTACGAGGGTCACATTTGGCGACAAGCCTTCACCTGCTATGGCCAACTTCGTCATGCTGCAGATCGCTGAGAAGTTTAAGTCCACCCATCCTGAAGCTTCTTGTATACTGCAGCAAGATAGGTATATGGATGACCTAATTCATTCCTGTCCAACCGCAACACAAGCTATAAAGTTGACATTGGATGTAGACCTCCTTCTCAAGGATGGCTCCTTTTGTGTGAAGAGATGGTATTGCTCGGCATCAACTCCAGGTCAGGAGGACTCTTACATTAATCTGAACTGAATCTGCTTACCCTGAAGAAGGTAATCAGTTACCGAAAGCTCGGCAATCACATTGTAACCAGTTGACTTAGTTGTTGGTTTGGAATGAAAGGGTATTGTTTGTAATCTGGGTTACTTGTATTCAGGTTGGGTCACTCCACAGGCTTTAATTCATTATGCATGAGGTATGGTCCCCTTTTGGCATACACTGCATTCTTATATTCTGGTGTGTGCATTTAAGCATAGACTTTGGTATAAAAGGCCCTGGTAGGCAATGATTATTGTCATTCCTTCCTTGGCTTCTGCTCACTGCACCAGCTTGTTTGGTCTGGCTTGCCCCTGCCATGTACATGTAGTCTGTTGGGCGTGGCATGGGGATATGTAGCTGGAAATTGCACCACATAGCATGGGGAATGACCAATGCTGGGTGGATGTTTAGCTGAGGTATGTTACCTTTTCTTGCTGTATAATTAATGACTCAAGTGGTGATATTTAGTGTACAAATTTTTATATGTAAGGTGTTATTTTAAAATGACGTTGTTGAATATGGGTGTTAAAATTGGTATTATCTTTACAGCTACACCCTCTTCCAAGTTGGATTTTGCTCGCCAGGTAGTGCCGATTTGAGGTTAATTTTGTAGTCTTTTAATTTGTGGTTAATTGTTTTGTCGCTTGCGATAGTCATGATTAAGAACCATAAATAAACTAATGGAAAATCAAGAAATGGTCATTATATATAACGGGTTTGCCCTTNATTGGGGAGAAATGGTCCACCACTGCTTTTAGTGCTCCGGCAGCCGGAGTTGGATTCAAGTTTTTGCAAATCATACTTCTCGCTCTGGTTATACATGGCGTAGTCGGCAGGATACAAATTACACTGGTGTATTTTTTGTATACGGAACTACCTGGTATTGCATATGCCACTCTTTTTGCCCGAATTTTGATGTGCTCTACTGATGGTTTCGGGCCAGGCTGTAGGACTGGTGGGACATTAAGATTTCTCTTTGAGAGTCCTCATCTGTGTTCGCCATCTGTGTCATCCATCGGGTTGTCCATCCTTGGCTTTCAATGATCATACATCGAATCATCACCTAGAGTACTGCCATCTCGAGGACTACGAGCAAGCCAATGGCAAGGTTTTATTTGTATTAACTGTAATTATTGGTATTCTGTTATGATTTTTGGAAGAAGTGGGTGAATCAAGTTGCCCTTTTCACAAAATAGGCAAACAATTTGGAGTTCAATATGGCTTGTAAGGCTGGAGTTGAGACACTATGAGAACAAATTTACAAGTTTACTCAGTAGATCAGAGAGTAAAAGCCTGATGTGAGTACATGTTTCCTGTCCTTTTTTTGCTGATGCCAGCACAAAAGAAAGTTTCATTTTTTTCTGAAAAGATGACAGTACATAGTTTACGCTTTTCAAGATCACAATCAAATTTTGACCTTTGTCAAGATGTTTGTTTTGACACATAGACAGTCCAGTATTTGGTAAATTTTCTTGTATTTATTAATCCTAATTTCACCAGTTATCTTGCTGGGAAGTAGCTAGGCCGTATCCTAGCATGTATATGGCAAGTTTAGGTTAGGGTTGAAAGAAGCCCTGTAAAAAGGATGGAGGATTATTTTTAGATACACTTTGGTGAGGATTATGTCTTGATTTTTGTTATATTCAGTAGGTAGTGCTATTTCATTTTGGGGGAGATTAGGTCTTCGTCTATTGGAGATAATCTCTATTTCTCTAGTGAAACTAGAGGTAGATATTATAGGACTATTTTTCTTTCACTTTCTGAGTTGCACTATATCCCTTCATTGGATTGACTCATTTTATATAGCCTGATCTTCAATTTTGGTAGGACAATGTTTTTAGATGTTTTAAATTGGTCTTATTTTGGAGTGTTAGATTTAAGGTCCATTTGAGGTCATTCTCTTTCTCTAGTTACATACTAGTGGTGGACAATCTTTTATCATTCTTCCAGCTATCAACATCCATTTTATTGTCCTAATATCATTTTCGATGAACTGGCGGTAGTTTTACTATAGTCCTTTGAATACAGACTGGTTCAAGAGATGGATAGTGCCAACGTCAAGAAAAAACATAAAATACATACAATGTATCATAAATTTTAAAACTCATCTACCGTTGCCAATTACAGGAAACAAATACAGCACAAACCAGAGCTAATGTGCTTCATGAAGAAGGGATATCAGTCCCAAACAGCCTTATGAAAGGTTTGTCTGAACTGACAGATACTGAAACAAATTTGAGACAATACATGAGACAGTAGTTGATGGCCTCACATGAAAGATTCACATGGTAGCACTTTCCACACAGAATTTTATTGAAAATTCAGCCAACTGATCATGTACCCCAAAATAATAGATTCTGACCTAATTTGGAATCCAAACTTGGTCACTATTTTCTATGAAACGGGTTTGTAAATACCAGTCCCTCATTTCCTGATTAAATGTATTTTATGCTCAAATGCGCTATGATTTATGTATTTGGCCTTATTTGAACATTGTACATCAAATTCTCTCATAATTTCATCAGAACTGAGCCACCCCAACTTTTTCAGGGATACTTGTGACTTTGGAAGATAGAGGGTGCTTTTCATCTTGTCTCATTGACATGCCATTAAAAGTCATTGAGCAAAGTTACTGTGAAACAAAATGGTCCAAAGAAAATCTTCCTTTTTCATCTCAAAGGTATGTAATTTCCACTTTCTGTTATCAAATATGGGATCTTCATATATTCAAGTTCATTTAGAGCTCATTATTTGTGTTGAAGATTGTCTGATATTTAAGGATTGAAACAGATTAAAAAGGGAGTGAAAGATTTTTCTTAGACCATGTGACAAGCACATTGTATGTATTGCATATAGACATTGAGGAATAAATAAGCACATTCCTCGAGTGACATAAGTAAAATCTTAGATTATACAGGGATAATGTTAGCAGTTTCTATTCATTTTGGCCAAGTAGAAGTGATAAAGCACATGCAGGCCTACAGGATGTGTGAATTGATGAATGATTATTTACATGGATCTTAACCACTTCCAGCCAGGGACTCCGGTACCGGAGCGATAGGCCTTATATTCGTGGCCGGGGACTCCAAAAAGTTTGGCGCTGTCAGTTAAAAAGTTTAGGCCATCATTGGCGGTAAATAAATTGGTCCAAGGCAATAATGGGTTGCTGGGGCCGGAGAATTGGGACTCTATTTTATAGCCGAACTTATAAAAGCCTGGAATAAAATTACGAGCTGCTGAGTGCTGCCGGGCACTGCCAATCAATCCCCGTATTCTTTCAGCGCAGAGCGCTGCAATTAGCGGAGGTAATCCGTGTATTGTTTGTGTAGAGCGCATTTGTTCGCGCTGCCGGGCGCTCGCAGCGGATTATCACTGCACTGCACTGAAGACAAAGCGCGGGCTGTGCGGGCTCATTATGCACCTGCGCCCCATGAATGACCCGACCCGGGCGCTGCTGGCCCTTGCCACGTTGACTGACAGGGCACGGCCCTCGCTGCTTGAGAATAAAATCGCCGTGCAGTGACTACTCGTGTTCATATTGGGTATCGTGTTATTCAGAGCACAGACAACATGGCTGAAGTTATATCCGGAGAGTCCCATTCTTCCAATGAAAGCGAGTTTTA